GCAAAATCAAAGTGCGCTGTAGTACCCAGTTAGAAAACTAGGTGAAAATAAATCAAACTCAAATGTGATAAGACATAAAATAAAATGAATAAAACTCAAAGCCAATATCACATAAATACCAACGACCGTTTCCCTTCAGAAAACGACTACTCCTTTGGCTAATATCTTAGAAAAAAGAGACCGGAGATGTAACATTGCACATTGCGCATGTTGTCTATTCCAAACCTAAGTAACCCACCAATTAAAAATCATTGTGTTCACGACGCCACCCGAATTGCTCCGAAATTTCTATTCTTTGCTTGTCTCCCGTGAGTAAATCATTTATGGACCGCCGTTTTTGAATTATTTGTTGGTGTTATTAGCAATTTAAAGTGTTTTAGTTATTCAATTTCAAGTTGAAAATGCCACGATGTATGGTGAAAATTTGTATATACAAATAATGTGTCAATGTTATGAAAAATAAGAAATATATTCGTTTTCAGCGGTAAATATTTGTTGACGTTTTGACATAAAGTCGCCATGATTCTTTGAGCTGAATACTTCAGATCCGCATTAAGGGGTTTCAATAAATATTTAATCTAAATAAGAAGTAAATAGGCATTGTTACTAACGAAATTTTGTTTTTAAAAAGTAGTTTTATAAGAATATTTACTAAAAGTGGTTTTTAGCCCTTTATTAGATATTTTTACAAGAATATTAGATGAAATACAGGTTCACCTATTTAAAATTTCAAGGTTTATTTTATTTGCGGTTAAATCAGAAGTGACATTTGAATCTTAAAACAAAGTAAAACGCGCAATATGATCTAGTATAAGCAAAAAATACTAAAGTTACGGAAATTAGTCATATTATTAGTAAAATGTTACATTATAAACCCCTAAACAACTCGAAAAATTCTTCGTTTACTAAAAAAATCTAAATTCTAGCAATATTTATTATACAATCGAATGCGGTTTCAAAGATAACAGGATCAATAAATCCGAATCTCTAAATTTTGGAGCTAAATGCTCTGATAAAAGCATGCGACCGATAGGGGTTACAAAAATAATCGATTTATCGTTTTCATGAAAATCGATTTATCCGTTATAATTAATCGATTATCTTTAATAGATTATTTTTGATTAATCGAACATTTTTAATAATTTTTTTTTAGGTAATGGAATAATCGATTATAAAGGAATTACAAAAAGAGAGTAGATTTATTCAAAATATTCGATTTATTGAAAATAATCGATTTTTTAGAAAAATCGATTTATTGTTTAATAGACTTTTTAAATTAATCGATTATTTTAGATTAATCGATTATTTTAGATTAATCGATTATTTTAGATTTTTCAAAGGTATTCAAATAATTTGTTTTAAAATACAAAAAATAGATTATATAAAAATAATCGATTGATCGAATATAATCGGTTATATTATATAATCGATATTTCGGTTATTTTTTAGAATTATTGATTTATCGGTAAATCAGCTTTTTATTAATCAATTATTTTCGATTTTTCAAAGAAAATTAAATAATCAGTTTTAAAAGGAATATAAAAAAAGAAAAGGATTATTTGTAAATAATCAATTATTCAGTTTTTTTTTTTTGGAAAATCGATTTATCGTAGAATCTTCTTAATTAATTGGTTATTTTCCGTTAATCGATTATTTTCGATGTTTCAAAAATGATCGAATAATTGATTTTAAAGGAAATAATTCTTTTTTTTTGAAAAATCGATTTATCGATTATTCGACTTTTTAATTAATCGATTATTTTTGATTAATCGATTATTTTAGATTTTTCAAAGATTATCGATGGAAATACGAAAAAAAAAAAAAAAATAGAAATTAAACATAATCGATTATTTAAAATAAAAGATAATTCGTTTATTATTTTTTGTAAACACTGATTTATCGGTTAATTGGCTTTTTAATTAATCTATTTTTTTTGATTTTTTAAAGATAATCAAGTAGTCAATTTTAAAGGAAATACGAACAAAAATAGATTGTTTGAAAATAATCGATTGATCGAAAATAATCGATTATTATTAATGATCAATAATTTATTTCGATAATCACCCACTCCTAGCGACCAAATGACCTTTAATAGGTTTAAATTTTAAAATGTTATCTGGTTTCAGACATATACATTTCTAGAGTTTTATGTGACGCATCCTCTATATTAATTAATATTCCTAAAGAAACAAGCTTTAATATATCTTTTTCTGAGGTTATAATACAAAACAGCATTTTCTCATTTTGACTAAATTTTAATATTATGTGATAGTCGTAGAAAAAATATAATGTTCAACTCACAAGGTTTAGGTTAGGTTAGGTTAGATTAACAATATTCTATTTCAACATTTTACTGTAGTCTCTTACAGAAAAGTCCATAGTAAATAATAGCTAACGAAATATTCTATTAAAGGTCTTCTCTTTACATAAAATGTCGTGGCATCTGTTTGATATTAAAAAATCACGTTAAATTTATTTCATAATACAAAATTCCATTAAACGTATATTTTAAATAAATCTAATAGTTCATTATGATGCTAATAAACAAAGTCCGGTCCCTGTCACAGAGTTCGAGTCCCTGCCCAGTTCCCCCACTCCGTTAACCTTTCTTTAGAAATTGGCAACATTTGCGCAGGTTAAACACCGGTGTATGTTATATCTCTGGTCTCTTTTATCTAAGGCTAATATCGAAAAAGAAATTCCGTAACGAAAATAAACCTAACACCCCCCCCACTCTGGCACATCGGTGCGGCGTTGAAAGCCGTGCATCGTCTAATGTCGTTTCAGTTTGGCAGACTTCGGCACGGTGTTTGTGTGCGTGCGACTAGACGTAGGCGTGTAGACTAGCTGCTAACTGCTCATAACTGATTCTATCTCTTTTGGACACAATTTCGGAAAAATTTAATTTGAAAATGAATAACGATCCACAAGAATCCACAACAAAATATGGGACCACCATTGACGCGGTATTTTTCAGATATTTAGAGGATATCAAGTCTCAAACTTATGTTTCTTATTTCAGTTACCATAAACCTATAGTTTCAGTGATAAAAATTCCTGAATAACCTACATGTATTGTAAGATAATAAAAATATTTTAAACAATATTAACTTCTCATTTATTCAATAAAAGAAAAAAAATTGTTTTCTTATCGGTCACCACGCTCAAAAAGTGTAACTTGAATTAATATAAAAGAAAAAACTTGAATGAATATCAAAGAAAAAAAATTCTGCATAAAAAAAATAAATAAATAAATAATTATAATTGCATAAGTTGATAAAAAATGCTATGCAATAGCTTTACCGCGGCAGTCCCCGAGTGTCACACGTATTTTTTTTTTATATGTATATTGTTAGTTAGCCATTTGGAATTTATTTTCTGTAGAGCTTTATCAAATAAATAATGCTTGATTCCTCTATTGTTAATAAACTTGAAATCTAGAATTTGACTAGTCCTAAATGATAACAAGTTACTACTTATATTTCTTTTAAAAAAGTTATATTTGTAGATTTTTTTTTTTTTTTTGAAAAATTAGTCATTTAGTGTTAAATTAAGCATTTTAAATCAAAAAATATTTTAATGTCAACAAAATTAGATTGTTGTCGATTATTTTGTCCTGTAACAGTTCTTTTATCATTGATGATAATCTTTACTTTTGATAGGTACCAAGGTTCAATGTACTTTTGTTTTACCAAATATATTTTTAAAATTTTATTAAAACATCAATCCATGATTACTAGCTGATAGCCTGAACGTTAATGGTCGAGTTATCGCTAGCTTTCTAGTTATTAAACGGTTCATTTTGTTATAGGTTGTTTCCGCATTTTTTACCAAGTTTTAATTGACCATTAGCTAATAGCCTAAATGTTAATGGCTGTCGTTATCGGTAGCCTATTATGTGGCATCCGTAGATAATTCTGTTTCATTTAGCAAATAAACTCTAAAATCAACTGGTTTAAGCATACATACAAATTAATAAGGAAGCCATATTGAAAGAGGAGCATCTACAAGGATTGAATCTCCTCGAAAATATACACCAAGAAAAAACAAAGTACTGGAAGAACTATGACACTTTCTCATATATCGCTGTGACGCTGTTGTACTTTTCTCTAATGGAAGATACTCTACTACACTGTTTGTAAAAAATACATGCTCATTGCAGACTATTTTAGAATCAAAGAGAATAATAATAAGTAAACAAGGTTAGAGGTTATATTAGGATAATGCATCGAGATAGAGATAAAGTAGATACGATATAAACACTATTTTGCGATGTGACAGATGGACGCACTTCGAGTGACACAATGAAAATAATTTTATTATCATTTAAATGAAGCAAAACTGACTAGCTCCAGAGGCTTGAGTTTGACATATGACTTAAAAGTGTAATGCAAAGGTGCGGACACTTTAGTATCGTTATTGCATCTCTTTATTCTATCTCAATGGGATATTGTAAATTTCCTTAAATAATGTGAAATTATTGGAATTTGACTGGGAAAGTTCAAGTTCATCTTCAAACGAAGAAGAGGATGTGGCTTTGAAAATATTAATTATTGATTTTGTTATTCTTTTAATTCTTTAATTAAACATTTAATATAAATTAGACCGATACAAGAAAACGGCACTAATCAAAGCAATACATTTTTGTTCTCAATATTTTCCCCTCTCTTTGTACCACCACCGGTCAAATCCAGACTTACAGGAATTAATTTCAGTAGAAAATTCCATGACAACCAAAGAATGTTCACATTTATTGAAATTACTGTTCCCAAAGGGAAAAATTGCATGTTTTTTGCGGAAATAATTTTTATTTATTTATCTATGAAAAATAATAACAAACAATTTTGACAACTCATAAATAACAATTGACAGTTGATGTTGATTATTAATTAATTAATTTCTTAATTGAAAACTGTTCTGAAGAATAGTTCTGCGCTTAGAACGGTTTTAAAAAACACTAACAAACCTTATAGTAAAAAAAAATCTATTAATATTCTTACCTATTGTGCCTATAACTCGCCTTCCTTTATCTTTCAATTCATGCATCTTATTTTGTAACCTAATCTTTTTTTCACTAAGGTAAGAAATATTTAAATCTTTGGCAGAATATCCTCTTGCTAAATTTCTTCTAACATAAATATCATAATCTCTGACTATCCTTGCTACAATATCTGATGTGGAAACTCCTTCAGTTCGTTCAGTCGCCACAAACATTCCCTTTAAAAGAATAAAAATAATATAATAGACTTTAAAATTCTTTCGAGTTTGGACAAATTGATGTTTTTATAGACCAAAAAACCAAATAGAGAAACTAATAAACTTGTGAACAAGAGAAATAGAAAACATTTTATGTTTAGGTTTAAGAATCTGGAGCATATTCCACATCCTGAGCCTTGTTTTGCTTTAAATAATAATGGCACTTCTCTTTTGAAACTTTTTCATCTTTTATTGAGTTATTACATCTGATCCAAGATTTGTATATGAAAATCTTAATTTCTCGAAAACTAGAATTTTTTTTATAAATAACGACTTTTCGTCATAAAATTAATAATAACGATTTTTCTCCACTTGTCAACACTGTATACATAAAGATAATAAGGACACAAAAATTCACAACTTATACTAGTGGAAACTGCATACTACAGGAAAAACATTCAAGAAAAATAGTAGAGACAATTAAATGGGACAGAGATAGGAATGAACTAATTAAACGGTAACCAATAATGACAACGATAAAAAACTAGTAAGGCCACCTAGTAATAATGAAACAAGAAGAAAGCAAATAGGAAAATCAAGAAAAAGGTAGAAATGAAAGCTCAAAAAAGAATGGAGAAATGGGATCCTAATCTGGTGCTTGAAATGGCAGAAAAATATGAGAAATGGAGAGAGTGACGACAGATAGTTACTAGTACAAAAAATATTTTTTTTATAAAATTACAAAATGAAGCCGTGGTATTTGCAAAACAATTTTTAGAATCTAAATTATTTCAAAATCTAGGAAGCAGAGTCTCTTTTACTTAGCTAAAGAATAAACAAATCTATCATTGGGCGTAGAATTTTCATGAGTTTCCTTTTGTTAATTTATGAAGAGTTTACTACACTTAGAACTCATGAGAACCATTTAAGTTAGTAGAATATTTAGAAATTTATTCCTGAGCCCCTAGAGGGTGAAAAATTGAGAAATTGAATTTGAAAAAAATCTGTTCCAAGTTGGATTCGAATCCACAACCTATAAAACATTTCACAAAAAAAAAATTGTTTTTAAAAAATTTTAAAATGAATAATGACACTTATCTATAGCTTTTGTAATATTATCTTTCTGTTTACGTAAAGTACAGCGTCACATTTACATTATTATAATTTGTTGGAACCAATTAGTTGCCAATTTAGAACCATTTTCATATGTACCAATATATTTTAAGTCAGACACATTTCATACCGTTAGAATTTGTTATTGAAATATTTACTGTATACAGGGTGTTTCTGAACTTGGCGTCCAAATTTGTAGGGGTGGTAGTTCGCATAATTTGAGACCGATTCGTAGATTTCATTTTTCCAAAATATTTAAAATAAAAATAATTAAAAATTAATTAAAAAATTTAAACAGGTACGGTCCTGCACAGAGAAATGTTCGCCTCGACTCACGCGCGCTTACGATCGAGTTTTCCGTAAGTTTGCTTAGAATCGACAAAATTGCAAATCGCATCTGTTTTTGAGTTGTAAATCCCGATGAGTAACCGATCAGGCAACCAGGGTAGGGCCCGTTCTTTGATTTTTTTATAATGGCTCTATTTTGTTTATTATAATTTTTTTAGAAAAATGAAATCTGCCAATCGCTCTCAAATTATGCGAACTCCCAACCCTACAAATTTGGACGCTAAGTTCGGAAACACTCTGTATATCATTATTATACAAGACGTTCCTAAATTTAGAAAACTAGAAATCTGATTTGATGTAATTTTATTTTTATTTCAAGCCTGTTTAAAAACTCACCTTTGCTTTCCAAGGGGCATAAATATCATTACTACTATCCGAACCGTAAGGAATGTCATCGTGAGCGATGAAGTCGATTTTATGTTGTTCCACGTATTCATCAAACAATTCCCAAGGGGCATTTCTGACTATTTCGTCGACATAACGGCAGTGCCTGAGAGCTTCATATCGCTCCTCTTCGTTCATTACCGTACGACCCTTTTTACTGTGCGTTAAGGAATCGCTACATACTGGAAACAAAGAAAAACATTTGCATAAAACATAAAAATATGATGTGTCCAACACATGACTTTCCTATCTAGCTATTATAGGCTTTTTCCGGTTATTTTGTACAACCTATTACAGCACATCTATAAATATTTAGAGGATAAACTAAATATATACATTTTCCACATACATCTACCTCGAAACATTTTTCTATAGATATTCATTGAAAACGAAAATACTAAAAAATTTAAATTTAGCACTCTTCCTCCAATTTTTCCATTACGGTCCATTTTAGAAAAATCATATATAAACAAAAATTATAGAGATCGATATCGCAAACAACTTTTAGTGCAACAATTTTCATAAATATTAGAATTTTGCACATTTTGTCAAATTTCTCGAATATGGACCATTTCAGGAAATTTTGACATTTAACAAAAATTATAGATAATAATATTAGAAGTAACTTTTATTTGAACAATTTTCTTCTCCAAACATAATAGATATATTCCATAAAATATAAAAACAGCCTACCATAAAGTACCCCCCAGATGTTCCGACTTTGTCCAAAATCTAATCATTTCACGTCAGTTTAAAATTTAATGTTTTTTTCTTTATCCGTTATTGAGTTTTCTTCAAATTTCGAAATTTACACATTTTCTCAAATATCTCGAATACGGGCCATTTTAGAGAAATTATGTATAGAATAAAAATTATAGAGATTTATATTACAACTTTTATTTGAACAATTTTAATAAAAAAATATTTTTTTTTTCATTTTGTCAAATTTCTCGAATACGGACCATTTTAGGAAAATTTTGTATAAAACAAAAATTATAGATAATTATATTAGAAGTAACTTTTATTTGAAGAATTTTCTTCTCTAAACGTAAATAACAGATATATTCCATAAAATATAAAAATGACCACCCATAAAGTACCCCCCCAGATGTTCCGACTCTTCCCAAAATCTAATCAGTTTATTAGACGCTGGAATAAAGCTTAAGTTTAAAATTTGGTGTTTTTCTGTATATCGGTTCATGAGTTATGCGACATACAGACACACACACAGACATCATCGCGAAAATAGTCAAAACGGATTCAGGGGACCTCAAAACGTAAAAATCCGTCGAAAACTCGAGGTCGAAAAAAATCATGATTCCTATACTTTCCTTATATCTGTATACAAATAGGAAAGCAAAAAAGTACTGCATAGGGGAAATTTATTTATATAAAGTTATATTTTTTTAAATGGGACACCCTATATTTTCTATTAATTATTTTAAGTTCGATTTTTAAAGATAATGTTATTTTAATAAAGATTTCCTGAACCTACATATCTTTGATAATTTCCGATTTAACATATTTTGAAAATGTAATGTGGTTAAAATTAATTAATAGCTCTTGATTACTAAATAATTAATTAACGAATTTTTGGCAGCTCATTACGAAGTGTAATATTTTTATCAGAATCATTAAAATATTCAAAACATGTACGGGGTTTATTTATTTATTTCTTTTTTTTTTTTGAGAATTGGCATCTAAACGTAGTTTTTTTTACCACAGACTTTTGTTAACCGAATAATTATTTATTTATTTATATTTTAATATTTTCTTTAATTAAAAATTCAATAATTAAGTTATATATTTTCTCATCAAATGAGCTTAATAAAATATAAATACTTGATGGAAAAGGGATATATGGGGAAAAAGTTTTTAAAGAAAATCTATACGAGAATTATAGTGGCTACAAGAAAAATGAGATGCATTAATTTAAATGGAACACCTGTATTTTATGGTACCAATAATAATTTACTTTTAATGTATTTTCTAAAGGCGCAAGCATAGGCGGAGCCAAGGGGTTTCGAAGGTTGACTGATTTAATCGGATATTATTGGTAACCGTAAAAGTGGTGGCCGTAATAAGAGAAGAACTTAAGGGATTAGAGCATGACCATATTGGTCGAAAACAGCTCGCAGGACAATATTTATTCCAAAATCGACAATAAATTTAATATTTACAATAAATGTGCTATAATGAATCACACAAAAAAGTAGATTCATCAGTAGTATTTGATTGAAATATTGCTTATCATCCCCTATTTATTTCTAAATTCGAAAAACGCTAAAATGGTGGTTCCCACCTTATCGAGACTGAGGCCCACAAGGGTAATCTCGTAGCGTAAAAAAAAAGGAGAAATGATTTAACTTTTAACCTTTTGATTCGGGTTTAAAAACTTGTTCGAGCAATTTATCCAATAATAATGGCCCCCTCTATCTCTTAAGTCTGTTCATGTAAAAATATTTGCGCCCATTGTCGCTTAAGCCTACCTACTTATAAAAATTTACAATGGTTTCAAAAAAGCGGCAAATCTTTTTTCATTTTGATAAATTTATTAATACCAATTCTTTGGGCATTGCATTTATCATTTTGATAGTAGTTTAAAAATAGTAGTGTTGGACGACTACTGATGTATTTTTACAAATTTTTTAAAAATTAAAAATTTTCGGGTTGTTTTTGTCTTGGTTTTAGGAAACTTTACTAAAAAAGCTAATCGGTCTTGTAAATTACTAATTTTCATGCAATGCATCCCATTAGCCGGACAAGCTTCCATTATGCCTATTATTAAAGACTTTAAGAAATAAATACCTAATTGTAATATATGAAAAGAAACCTTAATCAATATACTTTTATCGTCTGATGCTTGCTAAAAAAAGTTGATCCAAGGTCTTGTATATCACTAATTTTCATGAAATACATCTCATTTGCCCGACAAGCGCTCGTTTTTATCCGTTATCCTTAAAGGAGTACGTCAAAATTTTACCTCAACATTTCTGGTCTGTTTCAATTATTTAAAAAATAAAACATAATTTAGATTTTATTTTTTTTTGTTGTTAAACGTAAAGTCAAATGTGAAATATTCATTGCCTTTATTTCGATTTTTGGTTTTGGATTTTTCGATTTTTGATTATTCGATTTTTCTGGGCTGTTTTCAATTATTTAAAAAAATAAAACATAATTTATAAATTAAATTTTTTGTTGTTAAACGTAATGTCAAATTGTCAACTGTGAAATATTCATTGCCTTTTTTCGTTTTTCGATTTTTGGTTTTTTCGATTTGGATTTTACGATTTTTTATTTTTTCGATTTGTCGATTTTTCATTTTTGCGAATTTTCGATTTCTGAATTATCGCTTTTTTAAATTTTCGTTGTTTCGATTTTTTCTTTTTCGATTCGATTTTTTTATTTGAATTTTTCGATTTTTCAATTTTTCGATTAGTAATCTTTACAATAAATTGTGTGATATTTAATCCATTTTTTCTTATTGATTATAAGTCTGAAAATAGTAGATAAGGGAATATGGAGCCCTATAGAATATTTAAAATAAATTAAGTTTCCTTCATATTGGTTCCATAAAATACAGGGTATTCCATTTAAATTTACGCAGCTATTAAATAAAATATTTTACTATATTAAAACTTAAAATTGCAAACATTTCGTACATTTTTTGAAACATTTAATGATACCGATAAAAAGTTACATTTTGTAATGAACTTCCAAGCATTTGTTTATTTTAATCAAGAGAAATTAATTAATTTCCATTACAGTACATTTTCAAAAATAATCTCTATATTATCAATTATTTAATAGTTGAACTTAAAAGCAAACACCTTGAAAATTCATAATTCCTTCTGAGCCTTTATTTTTAGTCCTATTTTTGTAAACGTTTTAGCAAATACCAACAATAACAAAACTTAGGGTGGAGAAACAAATTTTGTGTAAACCTTCGATAAGTATTTATTTTGAAAATTATTCAAAGGTATTAAAAAAAAAGTTACGTGCCATTCTGTATTAAATCTATGAAAATTTGCTACTTTTTTGCTTTATTAAATATCTTGGTAGTTTTTAAATGGGATCATTTCCCACCTTTTTTTTTTCTTAAACGTCTCTGTAGAGTGCTGCTTTATCGTTACACAAATTTAAAGCTCTAAATATCCTCAAGACACATAATATCACGAAGTATTCCCAGTGGCACGCATATACATACAACTTTATATTAGAAAATCCTTAAAATATTAAAACTTTACATTGTTATTCGATTTGGGACACCCCGTATATATGAAACTAATTTTAAATTGTAGCCGCCTTTGTAGTTTAGCCAATTGAGTGTGTGGCACCCTTTATAAAAGTTTAAGGGTACGGTCCGATATTAACCGACTACTAAAAAAAATAATTTGTTGGTTACATTTGGACCACGGCCGCGATTTACGTCACTTTAGTGACAGATTGACATTCGACTTAATGGTAACCGTAAAAATATAGTGAATTGACGTTTGAGTCACCATTTTCAGGCAACCGTGTCCATAATTTAACCGATTTTTCAGTAAAGTCAAGCAAAGCGGTTACTTTTGGACCGAGTAACCGATATTTCGGTTAATAACGGACCATACCCTAAATGACGGATTTTATCTGTCATTCTTGTCAAAAAAAAAAAAAAACTTAGTGAGTTGACGTCATTGACACTATGCCTCCGAGCAATTACTACTAGAGGGAGTCTTCCCCCCTTCCCCGCGTTAAATTTTGTTAGCAACATCTACTACCCCCGAAGGGGAAAATACCTCTTCTGTAATTGGCTTATTTAATCAGCGTTGCCAAGTTTGACAGCGCCAGTTCTGACACTTTCTTGACACATGTCAATTTCTTATTTGTATTTTACAGAAAATATTATTATTTATAACGTTGTAAGGGTTGTAAATGTATATTTAAGATTTATTATCTCTAATAATATGGTGAAAACATGCTTTATGTGTAAAAGGCCTGTTGAAAATGCTTCTTCAAGATAATATCATAAGTAAGTACAGACACAACCTAATTATCAGGGGCGGTGAATTAGGCAATCACCTTTAATTTGCAATTAAACTTTCTTATTTTCTTATCGAAAAATTAAAATTAAGAGCAAGTAAACTCCAGCTAAGTTCGTCTTCATCCATCTCATAATGATTATAGTTAAGGTTAATTACTT